TTTGAAATGAAACAGCCCATAGCAGTCATGATGAAAGAAAGGTAAAATTTGTGCCATTTATTTAGGAATTTCAGATAAATTGTCATAAAAGCAAATTCTTTAAAAATTGGTTGTATTCATCCAAATTAAAGTTACAAAGGCAAGTTTATTTTTCCCACAGATCACTTTCAATTAGTGTTGAAACACCTAAATTCCTAAGAGGCATATTTTAATAAATTATTAGCTCAAAATGTTTAATGCTTTGAAAGTATCTATACTATGTGAAATTCTGTTCCAAATTAAATTATCATTCTAACAGCACATTTTTACCCAGAGTGTCATGATGACAAACTGGCCTAATACTGGATTTATTTTTAAAAGACCTTAAAAACGAAATCACAAATGATGTCATACATTTCTTTCATGGCTCGAATACCCTGCTTCATTTATTTTATAGTAATTACATTGCATTCTAATTCAAGTAATTGCATTAATTAGATCATTAGTTTAATTCTTTGAATTAATCCCATTTTACAAATGCTTAGTGAAAATTAATTAAGCCACAGACTCCATACAGGTACGGCTATCAGGTAGCTCACATAAAGCTTTAGCACAGGCGTTCATGTGTGCATGGGGGGTGTGTGGTGTCTGGGGGAGAAGGAAAAAGGGAATTTCCTTTTTTCTTTTATGAAGTTCACCAGATAAGAGTAATTAAATCATCTAATTATAATTATACATATTATAAGTTCATCTATTCCATTCTGAAATCTATGTAACTCCAGATATATGGACAATCTACCCATTTCTACAGATATCCAGGACTGTATGCAACAAGCTTAATAATGCATTCTGAAATGTCAAATAATGTCTGTTCATGGGTAACAGTTTCTTCTCTGTTGAATATAGTTCCAATCCTTACTGTGGCAGAATCACAGAATAATAGGATGTTAAAATTGAGAGATGTGTTAATGATCTCCCTGGATAATTCCTGCTTTTTAAAGATGAGAAAACAAAAATATAGAGTTAAATTGGATGAAGTCGTACGACTGCTTAGTGAAAGAGTCAGGATTATAGCAATGCTATGAATTGGTGTTGTTCAATGTTATTTCCCTGAGAAAGCTCCTGTGCTCCTACAGATATGAGACTCAGAAACTGGGCCCTGTGGCTACATCCTGGCTTACAGCCTCTCCAGGCACAATTCTAAAGAAGCATATTAGAACTAGAACCTTCTAAAGAGAAGATGGGGGAGGAAAACACCTAGAAGTCAGTATGCTGGCAACAAGACGGACAGCAATCAGCCTCACGGTGATTAAAGGCGCCAACTATAAAATGCACAGTCAATATTTGCTCCCAGGAATAAAACTTTAAATTGGAAGTGAAATATGGCATAGATATGAATAAAATAAGGTAACAGACAACTAAAATGTCAGCTTGCCGGGAATGCCTTCCTCAGAACTAGTCCCGTGAGTCCCTTCTGGGAATGACACAGCAACACGGCGTTGCTTTTCTGTTTATCGCAATTATGTCTCTACTTCTCCCCATCTCCCACAGCCCCAGCTGTCACCTCGGCGAGGACACTGCCTGCTTTGACATCTTCTCCCTCCACCTTGAACAGTACCTGGCCGAGGGTTAATCAATGTACGGTGGGTTTATATTGTGTCAACTTCGCGAAGCTGAAAAGACTTTTTCTTGCACCGCTCCGGGTCAGTGTTCCCCACAAGAGGCAACTGCGTGAGATTTTGAAGGCAGAAGTGCAGCAGCAGCTCACTGTCTGTGCTCAGAACATCTGTGTCCAGTGCCAGACGCCACTGCAAGCTCGGCGCTCTGAGTCTTACCTGCTGCCCTGCAGGGGGTGGGCGGCAGCAGTGTGCCCACAGCTTCTCCAGCTCCTGCTCACCTCCTCCTGGCTTGGAGGAAGTGACAGACCAATTCATAAGGTGAGTTTCGACCATCCTCCAGAGCTCCAGTCCTTCCTCCCAGATTCTAGCTTCCCCTGCGTCCCCTCCTAACATCCAGCTTTCCTTCTCAACTCCGTGAACTTGAACCAGCAGCGCCAGACACAGGAGTGAAAGCCTCAAATACACTATTTCGTCAGCTCACACAACTGCTCCAGCAGTTTTGCTGCTTGGATTGATTGAATCCAGACTGATACAGAATTTGGTTCTGGAAGTGGACTAACGAGAACCTTCAGGAGGGTTTCTCTGTGTTGGTTTTGGGTTACCTGCAGTTGATTCTGTAACAGGACTAGATTTAAAGTATTAGAAACCCTATTTCCAGTAGTTA